GCAGTGGGCTTCTGAGGCTGGAGGGTACCTGGAGGGGTAGCCCAGGGCGCTGATCCGGATGGTCTCCAGGAGCCCACAGGCTCGAAGCTGCTCCACTGCTCGCCTGGAGTCAAACCTGGGGGCAAAGAGGGCCCGGTCTGGATCAGCCAACTGGGCATGCTCCGAGCTGGGCAGGGCCGAGGCAAAGGGGACAGAGCCTGGGGGGCAGTAGTGCCCCCGGCCAGGCACTCACACGAAGGGCTGCTTGCTGTCGTTGGGTTTGATGCAGCGGATGTAGTGGGGCGTGGTGCTGCTCAGTGTCTCCATCAGCCGGCCCAGGGAGGCCCTGAACTGCAGCAGGGGACCAGGCAAAACAGGGCTCAGGGCCAGCAGGAGCATCCTGGAGCTCGTGGGGTTCCCCCAGCCAGGATGCACACGGGTCCTGCTGGGCTACCCCAGCCCCAGAACACGGTTGCCCCCCACACCCCCCCCGCATGCCTGGCTGCAGAGTGTCTTCTTGCTCCTTTGGCTACCAGGCAGTGACCTGCGGCTGGGCCGAGCAGCTGCCCTGTGCCCGTGGGACCTGCGGGCCACGGGGACATCCCCTTCCTCCAGGAAGAGCTCAGCCAGCAGGGCTGACTGCACAGAGCAGAGCTGTTAGAGCCAGGCAGACCTCGCAGAGAGCATCACCCAGTACCCAAAGGGCCATCCCCACTGTGAGACGCTGCCCCAAAAGACCACAGGCTCCACAGATGCCAGCCCAGCTGCCATCCAGATGTGTCAGATCCAGCTGTGCCCCTGCCCACTGCTGTCCCCATGGAAAAATTAAGTGCAAGCCACAGGCACCCTCCCAGATAAGCCCTCCAAGAGGTCCCTTACCTTCTGCCAGCACCATGTAGGGTGGAAGAGAGAAGCAACAGCATTACAGACCTGGAAGCAGCAGGACCCTCCAGCCCTCTCAGCAGGACATGGCCAAAGTGTCCTCCCAAGACAGGGAAGTCCAAGGCAGGGGAACAGGGTGGGGGGCACCCCAACCCTCACCAGCACTGTATGGGGCTGTACCAGCAAGATACCCTCCAAGGCTTACACCTCCTACACCATCAGTCCTCCCTGGCCCAGGACCCTGCTCCCGGTGGCTCTCACCTTGCTGGCTCGCAGCAGCCCCACCAGCTCCTCAGGGACAGTGTCCCTGTTCTTCTCCACAAACCCATCACACTGGTATTCCACCTGGCAGGAGACAAGGCAGGCACCAGCATTAACCTGCAGCTTCCCAGACCAGTTTGGGGCAGGGCTCTGCTTGGCCACAGCCCACAGCTTTTGGAGGAAGCCCTTGCAGGAGTCAGAGCTGGTGGTGACCACGCTGCTCAGCTCCTGTCCTACCCCAAGGGACAGATTTTACACCCGGGTACAGAGCTGGAGCCCAGCAGCAGAGCCACCAGGATGCACCTCCTAGCCCAGGAGGGTGCAGGCACTTGCCACCAGCTCCCAAAAGGGCAAGGCTGAGTGCCCACTGGTGCAGAGCCACTGCCCAGCCCTGGGCTGCACCACCACAGCTTCCCTTACCTTGCCAGCAAAGTGGCAGACAACGAAAGCATCCGTGTGCCTCCGGGGCCTCTGGAAGTGGGAGCTGCCCAGGTGGATCCGCCAAAGCTTCTGGGCCCAGCTCGTGTCGTTGCCTTGGGGCATCTGCCAGGCAGAGGGGTCAGAGTGGGCAGCGAGGGGCAGCCCGTGGCAGCCTGCTCCCAGCCCCCCTCGCCCACCTTGCACTCCTCATTCAGCAGGTTCAGGATGCCAAGCTGGCCCTCGATGAGCTCGATGCACGGCTGGTTGTCACAGAAGTCAATGAAGTCCCAAGGGATTTCCTCAGCCACATACTCCTCCTGCTCCAGCTTGAAGACGTGCTGCAGGGTGGGGAGAGCAGAGCAGGACTCAGCCAGGACGGGACAAACCTGGCAGGCTGCAGGAAGTGGTTTGGCATCCCTAAAACACCCAAGCAGCCCTTCTCCTGGAGTAGGAGCACTTTGGGAGAAAGAAGGGGCCTGCACCCAGCTCCAGCAGACTCCCAAGTGCCACGTTTGCAGGAACTGAAGCACCAGCCCCAAAGCAACAGCTCCCAGCAAGGGGACACATCCAGGCAGCACCCACCAGGTTGAAGAGCTGCTGCAGCTTCTCGTTGGCATAGTTGATGCAGAACTGCTCAAAGCTGTTGTGCTCAAACATCTCAAACCTGTGGGCAGCAGAGACCTGCCTGAGGCAGTTCCTGGGCAGAGCTGCCCCTGCCAGCCACGAGTTCCCACCCAGGAGAACTCAGAGCAGCTGGTGGCTGCAGGAACAGGACCACACTCTTCCAGGCAGCCCAGGACAGGGAACCTGCTCTCACCCGTAGATGTCCAGGATGCCAATGGAGGTGTGGTGGCCCTCTGGCGAGCGCAGGGCACAGTTGACCCTGCTCACCATCCACCTGAAGACCTGCCCATACATGTACTTGGCCAGGGCATCCCGGGAGCTGAGCACCTGCTGCCTGGAGAGGGGTTTCAGGTAGATCTCTGCAGCAGTCACCAGCTTGCGGTGGCAGAGCCAGCGGGTCACCGGCAGCATCTCGATGCCCAGCAGCGTGCAGAACAGCCCCAGGGCCTCGCTGGGCTGTGAAGGGACAGCTCTGTCACCACAGTGTCACTGGGACATGGCTCCCAAAGCTGGCACCGCTCATGAGCTAGTCTGGGAGGTGGGATGTGGGCACGGGGCTGTCACCCACCTCCACGACACAACTGTCCCCGTGCCGGTCCCTCCTGCCGACCGTGACCTCGCCCAGGTGCAGGATGGCAGCCAGGGTGCTGAACAGCTCCAGCTGCTCAGCCTCGGGGACACCTGCAGGCACCACACAGGGGTGAGGGGACTCCCCAGGGTCCCCCCCACCCTGCGCCAGACCGACCCCCCCCCGCATGGCACGAGCCAGAGGGGTGGGGACAGCCTGTGGATAACGGGGCTCCCCAGCACCGAGGTGCCCGATGCCAGGATGTGAGGGCAGGAGGACAAACCAGCCCCAGGGACCACCCCCCACCCCCTGCCCAGCCGTGCCCGGGCAGGGCAGTACCCAGGAGGCAGAAGGCCTGTCGGACACTCTCCAGGTTGGCCGCGTCAGCAGCGCTCTGGGTGGCAGAGCTCCAGCCCTGGCAGGTGTAGTGGAAGGACTCTGCCCCTCCTGTGGTGGAGACAGGGAGATTAGGGGAGAGAAGGAAGAAATGTTTTGCCCTAAGGGTGGTGAGACCCTGGCCCAGGTTGCCCCTAGAGGTAGTTGACGCCCCATCCCTGGGACCATTCCAGGGGAGGTTGGACA